GAACCCATTTGACCCATTTGTCGTTGTGCAATGGTTGTGGGTTGTGCTCCTCCTTTCTCCTCCAACCAAGGACATCTGAGGTTGGCTGTCCATTCTGCAGTCTCTGGAATTTAACCATTTGGTGAGCCTTGCTCTTGTTATGTTGGATAAGTTGTGCCTTTTCCATGAAACCTGAGATCTCCTGAAAGATTTCTCTGGTAACCTCAGTGGAGAGTCTCTTTCAGAGAGTCTTTGACCTAAAAACCTTTTTTTCAGCTTACTATGACCTGGATGACTGAGAATCTGCACAGACCTGGTGTAGCTTGCAAAATAAATTAGTCAGGTGTTAATGGATGGTGTTGCAGCTTTTTTCTCGTTGCCATTATAACATATGTTGCTTGTTACTGTTGTTTCAATACCATTGCACTGGCTGACACTATTACTAAGTGCATGGCCACCCAGTCAAAACAATTTCTAGAGATCACCATGTGTGAGAGGATGTGGGCAGATCGGTGAGGATGTGGAGTGGATGGTGCGGTAAAGGCTGTGGGCATGGGGGGGGAGCTAGACACTGACTTCTCCTGGGACAGTTAAAGACTAGTGTCACCTTCCTGGTTGCCTCGGCTCAAAGACATTCTTTTGGGGCTGAAGGAATGTTGAGATGACTGAACAGGCCTGAAGGCAGCGTGCTGGGTGATGTTTATACACAAACTGAAAGATGAGCGACGAAGGAAAACCTTACAAGTGACACGTAGCAACAGGACAGTTTCAAGTGACAAGAAGTGACTCTTTTAAAGAGAAACGACATGTAGTCTAGCCTCCGAGGTTGCATAATGGAAGAAACACACACCCCGGCAGTGGGCAACATGACAGATGCAGTACATTTCTCTTTCTACACTTAGTTTTTTGTATAGTGCTGTCAGTCCTGCTACACAACACAAGTTCACAACAAACAAACAATAAAAAAATCAATTATATATCAAGATTCTTCTTTTCTCTATGAGTGGACATTTAAGTTATCCAGTTACAGGGAAAACGTAATAGTCATTTATATCAAAAACAAACTGAGTCTGTGTTTTAGACATGGCAAACAGATACACAATGAAATCATATAGCACTGAAATAATAATCAGTTAATAGGAAGATAGCAGCATGGGCTCAGGGCATGTTTTATAGACCATATGATATGTTAGTAACAAATTAATCAATTGACAATGAACGTTTCGGCCATGAATTTGCTCACACAAGCGCATGAAAATATAGTAGCATGGAAGTTATGTAGTCCTCTGTTGGCTGACTACAAATCACAGCCTTCCAACACACACACACACACACACACACACACACACGGCAGAGAGCAGAGATTTGCAGCAGTTTGTCCCTGTGAAAAGATTACATTAAGTAAGTGTGTACCTGCATTATGTGTGAGGTGTAAAACAAATCCAGGCCTCTATGCTAAGTTCGCTTGGTGTCCAACAGTGTTTGCTAAAGGTCAGTGTGCCCTGTGTTGTGCCAGGCATTAGTGTGTGTGCATTTGGTTTGAGGTCATACAAATCATTTTCACTTCCTTTTTTATTGACTTTTTAACATGTGTGTTTTTAGACTTCTCTCTTGTTGATGTAGGATCAGCCTGTATAAATCCACTGTATCACTAAAGTGGCATTTTTCTAACTTTGATATGAGTTACCAGCGACTAGCCCCTCTCCCTGTGAGAACAGGGTCTGAAGTGGTGAATTTAGCTGTAGAGTACAGGTGAAGAGTCATCTGAAACAGCTGCCCTGCACCCAGTGCACACAGAACTTCTAGAAAGTTCACAGCCATTAGTCGCAGCAGTGATAGTCGTAGGAGAACCAGTGGGCCAAATGACAGTAAAGGTAGTAGAAGGAGATGTGCAACCTGCTAGAGTCAAAATGTGATGTTTATCAGTGTTAATGAGTGAAAAATAAAAAAACTATGTTCAATTGTTGCTTTAAATACAATTAATTACAATTGTTTCTGGTGCTTTGTAATTGATCCTGGTCAAATTGATTTTAGTTCAGAGCATGTATGCAGTGTGATGTTTGTATTCATTTCCCTGATTGAGTCTTTGTGGAGTACTTGACATGATTCACCTCAGTGGGGGGGTGGAACCACCGTGCAGTAACAGTGTCCCTGGTCAGGAGTAAATAAGGTGTGCAGCCAAAGTTGGCTAAAGAAAGCACTGTGTGTGTCTCATCTTTACACAAAACAAACATTTTGATAATGTGTGGTAATTAGGGGTTTAATTGACTGTTGACATGTATGTCAAATGTGCCATGCCTCTCTGAGTCTGTGCCCCAGCCTGGGCACCCCATCCAAAATTTTCTAGATCCACCCCTGGTAATTCCTGTACTCAAAAAAAAAAAAAAACAATTCAGAGAGCAAATACTGTGTAAAATGAATTGGCACCTGTAACCTTACTGTGCCTGTAAGGCGCTGCACAGCTGGTTCCATAAATTCACACATTGTAGTTTTCATATCGATCTTCCTGTCCAAATGAAAGAATTTAGATACAGTGTGTTAATTAGTGAGCCACAAAGGACTGTGAGCGGAGCCAGGTTGCTTCCCTCTGCTTCTAGTTTTTATGCTGAGCTAGGCTAAACAAGTTCCAAGTTCAGCTCTGTACTGAACATACAGCACACAAAGGACTGAAACAAGTTTTCTAATCTCACCCTGAGAAAAAAAAGATCATTGAAACAGCTGCTGTAGTAGGAGCCATGCTACTACAGAATGAATCCGATGATTGATTTGAAACTGAAGAACCTACGATGGTGTCCACTGCCTACTTTGACAACCAGAATTTTAAAAAAAGATTCACTATTGATCGACTAATTGAGTCATCATATCAGTAACAGTGTGAAGAGTGTTTGTAGTAATATGCATACTGTAGCAGTAATAGAAAGAGTAGGAACAAAAGGAACACACTAGCAACACAAGCAGCATCCACACAGATACCCTTGCAGCTCTTTCGAAACACAGAACAGTAACAGATGAAACTGTAGTGCAGGATCGTTAGTTATCAAACAGCTAATAGATTCTGACAAGAACATGCAAAGCAACATTAATCCCTGATATGAACACAAATAGTGTTAGCTTTAATATGACAACACAACAGCAGATGAATATCATGTGTGTGTGTGTGTGTGTCCCAGAGCACAGCAAAACAAGTTAATGACACACTAAATAATGACGTGAGGGTACAAAGGAAGCTCCGGTCAGCAGCACTGAGCCCCTGCTGTGCCTGAGGTTGCACTTAAACTGGTTGCAGCCAGCATATGTTCAGGGCGAACTGGCTTACGTCAGCACTCAGTGGGGGGCTGTTGGGTGAGGTGGTGCATGTTTGTGTCACTGAAGTCTTCACCGCCACAAGGCAAGTGTCTCCATTTGGTGATGTGTCTGACTGATGAAGTGCAGCCAGGGCTCATCACCTAAAATCAGTGCCCTACCTCACTAATGTTCTTGTGGGTGAATAGCAGGTAAATCTCTACAGCAGTGAACCAGAATCTTGTTCAACAATCACATAGTGCTGTGTTTAGTTTGTTGTTGTTTTGGTGCTCAGTGCATCTGTCTGGCCTCTCACCTGTAACTCTCATGGTCGCAGGTGTACAGCAGGGCAGGCAGGGCCAGCAGGGCTGCTTTACACTGGTGTGCCGAGACTCAACTGGAGAGCAGATGGCCAGAGGTGGAGCGCACGTCCTGGTCAGCATTGTCCACAAGGAGAAGAAAAACTGGTGAGTGCCAGATGGTGTCCAGCCTGCTGGGTCTGTATTTTTACTTTCCTGGGCATTTCTGTTGCAACACATGGTACAAAAGGGGTTTACCCTGGAGCATGGCTGTTTGTGTGCGGACGCTTGTTACACTGGTAAAGGGGCCCTTTTCTTAATGGGACCCAGTGATGTTTTCCCCCTTCAGTGAGGAACGTGTCCTTGGATATCCAGCAGCTCACTGCAGTTTTGGTGTCAAGACTGATCAGGCTTGTCAGCACTTGCCACCGAGCTGCTCAGAGCGGGTCAACAGAGCACTGCACACCTGTGTACTGTGCTATTTGTACAACTTTGGATAGAGGAGGCACCCCCTCCCCTACTGACATGCCCAGAATTACACAAAGCTTTTTTATTCATGCTTCTGCTTGACTGAGTGTCACTGATCAAATGTGAGGGGTGAGATGAGATGAAAGACAAGAAATGGATAATCTTAACATATTGTTTTAAGAACAATGATTCATTGTATTTTGTATATTTAGTCATGTTTAGTCTGTTGTCTTTTTCCTTCAGCACAGTGGACACGACAGTGGTTGACAGCAACGATGGATCCTACAGTGTTTCATACACACCTGAGGAGCCGGGAGCTTACTCAGTGTGGGTTTGTGTCAAAACCCAACATGTCAAGGTACAAAACTAAGTAGAAAGCTTGAGAATGCTGGGAATCTGTGTCCAGCATTTGTATTGTCTCATTTGTTATGAAATATGTTGCTCAGCTGAGATGTACATGTTAAAATAGTTTAACAAAACTTCCTGCATCAGTTTAAGTAAAAAACTGTAACATCCTGGGTTATCGGAATCTGACCACCTCAGCTAGCTGACGCTTTGCTGTTCCTCCCTCTAGGGTTCTCCTTTCATCCTGAATGTGAAGAGGAAGTTCAGGCGTCACAGTGGCACATTTCACTGCTGTACCTTCTGCTCCAGTGGCGGTGCCAAAGAGGCTCGCTGTGGCTGCCCAGGAACCATGCCAGGTATACGTAAGAGATCTTTAAATGTCTGCTCAGAAGGACCATGAACACAAACAATGAAAATACTTTCATTGCATTATCAGGCAGTGCTTGTGAGTGGAATGACTTTTGCTTATTATGTAAAAATCAGATTGACTTGTGTTCTCTTTAGTCACCATGTGCAGTCATTTTAAAGTTAATTCTGTTAATATAAACATCAGGGACATGTAGAATTCAATTATACTTATTAAATCATGCAGCAACAAGACATGCTTCATGTTGAAAAGTTGAAAAGGAACTGATACTCTTACCCCCATATTCCCTGTAAGCTGCTTAAAGACACTGTGATCAATGAAGGAAATCCCAAAAATGCAAGAGACAGTGAGGTGAAAGTAGCAAATAAATTACAGATTGATGATGATGACATACAATAGTAAAACAACAGACATAGTCTTTAATGTTTCCTTTCAGTTAAAATGGCAGTTCATATAAATACTGTAAAATAAAGTCGAGGTGTAGTCACTCTGTTGATGTCTATGGTGGACGAGGGGCGTCTACCTTAACACCACCGCTGAAGAAATGAGGATCTTCTTTGGCATGTCAATCCAAATGGCCTGCCTTGGCTTTCCCAGAATCAAAATGTTTTGGGCCAGCAAAACTAAAGTGCCAATAATAAGCCAGAAAATGACAAGGGACAGATTCTTCAAGCTGAGAAACTCGCCGAAGATTGTAAATGACCTGGATGTAACAGAGGAAATGAAGAAAGACATTCTTTGGAACGTCAGGCCACTTCTGGACAGAGTAAGGCAAGGTTGCCTTAGCCTGCGAAAACCAGGAAACAACAAAGACAAAGTCCAGGTCCAGGTGAGAAGACCCGCAGTCATTAGGGAGTACACTGACAACATGGGTGGTGTGGACCTCTGTGACCGCATGCTGAGCTGCTATTGCATGGCAAGCAGAGCCAAGAAATGGACCATGTGTGTGATTGCTCATTTCTTCAAGTCTGACAGCATAGTGCTTAACTGATCAGCAAAAAACACTGAACAGTTCCTGAACTTCAAACTGCATCTGGCAAATGAGCTGCTGAACTACTGAGAGTAGACGACAGTGAGGAGAGCGAAGAAGAGTATGAGCCAACCATCAAAAAGAGGATTCCACTACCAGAAGCATCATTAAGAAAATATGGGGCCAGGCACATGCCAGAGATGGTAGACTGCAACCATGCAGACAGGTGCCGAAACCAAGGCTGCAAGGGCAAAACATACATGTGATGCATCAGTTGCAAAATGTTCCTCTGCATTACAAAGAAGAGAAACTGCTTCCTGGAGTACCATAGCTAAGAATTTAATGAATGAAGAAAAGAAAGAGGAAGAGAACAGTGATGACAGTCTTTAGTCTTAAAAGAAGGCTGTGTGTATATTATAATACAGAAATTCGGTTCAAAAGTTCAGCAAAAGATACAGGCCAAATGTTCAGTTTAATTTAGAAACTTTCCTTAGAAGAGCTTAGAATATTTCATTAGAAAATGGATTGAAATTCTTGTATTCTTGTCATCCTACTTTGATTTCAGTGTTGCTGTTTGTTTGTTTTTTACAGTAAAATTGTTCTGTTGTCCACTACAGTGGACATGCTGTAAAATTTAAAATAAAAATATTTTTATAAAATTCTAAATTGTAAAAAGTTGTTTTAGCTCCAAAGAGGCAGGAAATCACAAAAAAAGTAAAGTGAAAGATACTTTTTCTCCTCGGTTCTCAATATAATGATTGTGTATTTGGCATATTTGTAATGTCACCTGTCTTTCTCAGAAGGTTGAGTCTTACCTTGTGAAGTTTTTTTAAAGACCAGTGTTGTGACACACGTGACTCCAGCCTGAATCTACTCTGGTCTTTATTTTTTGTGCTCCCTCTCTCTGTCTTTATGACATGAACACTTCCCTAGAAAGACTGACAAGCTAATGCTGCTGCCAATCTCCTGTCTTGACCTGTCTGTCTAACTGCAGGAGGATTTAAAGGCTGTGGTCACGGTCATAAGGGACACCCCAGGAAGCCCCACTGGTCTTGTTGTGGCAGCACAGTGGAGCAGTCGGAATGCTTGCCTCAGAGCGTGCTTGATGCCGTTTCTCCCTGCGCCCACCTACGAACTGTGGAGCTCTGAGGTGACACAGAGACAAGACCTGTCAAGGTGATGCAAGTTAACAAAGGATGGCAGCAAGTGAAAGGTTAGAACAGCGTGGAAGTAAGGTAAAGGTTGCTGGTGTGAATTTTGAACAGGTCAGATGAGGAAAGTGAAGCTCTGAAGACACAGTGACTGAGGCCGGACAGCAAAGTCACTGCATCTCAAGAGTGCTCACCTCTGTGTTCTGATTATCGCTGGCCTAGTTGTGATACAGGATCCAGTTTACCACAAAAGTCAAACACCTCAATCTAGGGTGCAAAGTGCCTTTTTTGTTTCAACCCTGCTGACGTATGACAAGCTGGTGGAGGAGGAAAAGGAAATGCTTCAACCACAGCAGCATGTCTCCTCCTGAGCCAAATCTGAAGGGGGCCTTCGCAGCTGTTGCTGATGGAAGAAAGAGCTCTCTTTCTTCACTGTTACACTTCTCTTTCAGCAGACATGTCCCAGTCTAAAGCAGATCTTTTAATCTTGAAGCTGCTGTTGATTTCAAAGATCCTGAAATCAGTGTTTTATATTTTAAATGCAAAAGCCGTTAGAACAGAAACACTATTAATCTTCCAAACTTTTTTATGTTTTATATGAGGCCTGACACACGATCTGAGACGCTGAAGGATACAGTATCAGCAATAATTCTTGTTAACCTGCACTGGTCGCTGTTCTGTAAAGTGTACACAAGAAGGCCGTGATCCCGACAACCCATTAAGTCCATATTTACTGTAGCATTAACATTGTCACGAATGATAGTGTTATGTTGGATGGTAAAGTAGTAGCTACTTAGCAATGGCAAAACAAAGCGCAGATCAATGAGCAGGCAGATTTTATCAGCCAGTATTTAGCAGATCCTACCAGTGTATGTCAGCCAATAAATACTAATAAATTGCAGTACTGTAAATGGTCTTATACTTGTATAGCGCCTTTCTATGCTTTACACCACACTCAAAGTGCTTTCACATTATTCAGCCATTCGCACTCCCAAGCACTCACACACCGGTGACATCACCGGGAGCAACTGGGGGTTCAGTGTCTTGCTCAAGGACACCTCGACATGTTGACTGGACAAGCCGGGAATCGAACCGCTAATCCTTCGGTTAGGAAACGACCCGCTCTACCTCCTGAGCCACAGCCGCCCCCGGTACTGTACTGAAGTTACAGAAATCTGTCTGAGGGTATTTACAGTGTTTCCAGTACATAGTTTGCCTACCAGAGAGCACTGAGAAGTTTGTTTTCCAGCTGTAAAAACTCCTGTGAAGTTCATATCTTGTTCACTCTTTAAAAACCAATTTAAGGGAAGCGTATGTTTGTGTTCAAGAATACAGTTAAAAACAAGTACTATTGTTTGTTCATATCCGTTGTATGTACCAATAAGTACATTTAAAGTGTATTTACTGTGATTTCATAGTACCCCAGTTTGCTCTAGCTTATTTGTTTGTGCACATGCTACAGGTACAAACTGTATATTACAGGTTGACTACAATATTTTTATAATAATTGGATTTTGGCAGCTTCATAGGATGAAAATTATGTTTAGAAATTTTAATGAGCAAATCAACCTGAAACAATACAAGTGAGTGGGACAAAACTTCGACTTTGAAAATTAGGGTTTCCTCTCACTTTTCATTTCACATTAACAGTTCATTGAGTTTGGATAATCCCTCTTCAAACCAGCAGGTGGCAACAGAGAGACACTTTCTGCTCCTGCTCTTCTGGAACTAATGATCATGTCCTTCTATTGTAAGTTTTCTGTGCTTGTTCCTACAAGTCATTTATAATCAGCATTCTCCAATGTGGTCTTTTTGACAGCCTGTCTAAGCTAAGAGGCTCCCGGTCACTACTGCATAATCACGAAACTGTTTTAACCAGTTTAAGATTAACTCTTACCTGCACACTCTGCACATTTGATGAATGGGACCTGCACCACTGACCCCTCACAGAGGATGTGACAGCAGTGGTGGAACTTCCTTATCAAACATAATAATTTCTCAGGTACAGAAAGTTGGAAATGAGTGATCACTGAGTGAATCTGCACACCGAAATGCACACACACACAGAGATACACTTTGATTAGGTGAGGCCAGGTGTGGGTTAAATGATGAAGTGGTTCAAAACCAGCCTTGCTTTTTCCCTCTATACTTTCAGTGGATTCAGTTCAGTAAGGACTGAACCCACTGACACAAACACACCAAAATGAACAATGACACTGCACTGGAAATGGATGCTCACCGCGGCAGTGAACCCCAGAGAGGAGGGTTTATACCAGAGCTCATAAACCTCCTTCACCCACCATTGAGCTATCAAGTAATGTACCTTGTAATTGAGAGAAGCGGCGGTCATGATACAGTATCGTCTCACGAGCAAGAGGCAGCTTTTCTTGTTTCATTTTGGGCTTTTTATAGTCTTATGTTTTGCCTGTTAGGTGTATCCAGAGGGATTTATAGAGAGTTCAGCATTAGAAGAACCTAAAAACAGACATAGCACAACTGAACCAGTAATTAGACAAGATTCTCAACTTTATTCTATTTTAGGACAGGTGGGACACTTGAAAATTTGAGTATGATCTATTTAAAAGTGTATTAATTAAGATTTTCCACACTGTCTGATAAACCCAGTGACAGTGGGACAGGATGTGGTGTCTACTCAGCTGTCTACAGCCCTTCTGTTGTTTTTCCAGCTTCTCTACACTGTGTTGTTAAAGTACTGTCTATAAATTTGCCCCACCTGCCACCAAGCCAAGGTTAGAAGACATGTTTTTCTAAATAACAGTAGTCATTTCAGCATCCAACCGTGGAGGAGCAGCTAAAAGTCTCAACCAGCGGCTGCTAGAGTGAAGAAGTGGTGTCTTTTGCACAGAGAGAGTGGGACAAAGAAAGAGCAACAACATGGGTTTGGCTTTTGACATGGAGGGAGTTAAAGGCAGCTGAAGCCACACAGGATTTTAATTTGAGAGTAATTGAAGCTTTGTGTCACATTAGCAGTAACCACAGTGTTTTACTGGCTCGACACATACACTCAATAGTCAGCTGTCACTAGTTTCGGACTGAAGGCTGCATTTTGTGCATGTTTGTCGTAACCAGACATCTGCAGTTTGTGATGTTGCTAGGAAACAGGACATGATGGGAGGAGCAAAGAGCACTTAGGAGCGGCTTATGGTGTCAGTTTGTTCCGAGTCTCACTAGACCCTCTAGGCTGAAAGAACATTAGGTAGAGTAGCTTGCATTATGGGCTGTTTGCAGCTTAGAAGTTAAACAGTTAGCGAGTTTCTCCCTCTCTGTCTAAAGTGTGACTGCCTGAGTTTGTCAGCCACAGAAATGTCAAGTAAACCCAGTTTAAGGCACAACCCAGCTGCTGAATCACACTGCGTAACTACCACAGAGGGGGAAAATTCCTAATGAGCATCTTGAGAGATCTTTACTACAGATATGGGCCTGACAAGTCATATGTCAAGCAGACAAAAAGGTACAGTGTCACACAGAGAGGGATTAAGAGACAGAGAGATATGATGGGAGGAGCAGTTTATGCTCAGTTTGTTTTGAGTCTCTAGGCCGAAACCAAATTAGGCAGGGTAGTTGTAATGCTGTAGATGATACCTAAGAAGATCCCGGTATGGGGGTGTTGTTATAATGTCTGTTTATGTTGGGACAAAGATGGCTTATATGAAACTAGAAAAAGAAATAAACCCTGCTGATGAAGGAGTTGCCGCCAACCTGCCACAGTATCATGTCACCTCAGATCCAGTGTTGTGACAGTTCTTGACATCCTCTGAGAGATACTTTATCTCTGGGCTGCAACAGAGCAGCACTGGCTTCCATCATTGTCAAGACAGGACACACCTACTCTCACACACTCTACATTGAAGGTCACCTGAAATTCATTATGGGAACTTAGAGAAGTCCCTGCTGGAGACTAATTCATCTTGATTTGTTACAATCAGTGTGTTGGCAATAATTCATAGGCATCACAGAGTGTAGTTTCCAGAGGTACTTACATAAGAAAAGCAAATCCCCTTAATATTTAGAAGCAATGAAGCTCTAACAAAGGCCATTCTATTTCTGTTCTATCATGAAAGCCCTCAGTATTACTGATAGAAAGGAGAAAACGCCAGTGTCTGAGAATACCCCATCTTCCTTCTCTATAACCTAGCTTGTGTGAATGTGCATGCATGGGTGTGTGACCAGCGGAGGATAAGAGACTTCAGGTCATTCAGTCTGAACTCTATAACCTGATTACAAACAAAGGGGTCAGCCCACGGTCATGACAGTAATATACTTACTGTGATCTAAATAAAGTCTAACTGGCTCCTACTGGACAGTGGTGCAGTTGGTTAAAAGCCAATAAAGCCTTTTTGTTTGCGGCTGCTGCTGCAGAGGTTCACAGCTGATGCTGATGGAGCGATATGAAGATCTAGGTTTTCAAATTTGACACATCTTCTTAAAACAATTACAGCTTTCTAAGGCGGGTCACAAGAGTGGAGCAAGCTATGCTGCAGGTAAAAAAAGAAACCATTTACAAAGTGCTTTACAATAAAAGTACTATAAAATATTCACTGGAAAATGGTCAAAACTTATAGATTTAAAACAATCAACTATAAATAAAGTAAAGCTTTTGAAACAAAAGACTATAAGAAATCAATGCACGTGGGTTTTAATAAACTGTGGCACTGACCTAGTCACCATCCACCTTTGTCCTGAGTCTGAATTGTCACATTTTTAACAGCAAATTCATGACGTATTCAGTCTGTAATAAACAAATCCCAGTAACATCACATTCTGCTTTGTGCCAGTATGATACATATGTTAATTCACCACAGACTAATCTGCAGAAACGATGTTGGAAAGTCTACAAAATAATGAGTTTAAACATTCCACTGAACTCTAAGTAAACTTACAGAATTTACAAAAGCAACTGCAAAAAGTGCAAGTAAACAGAAAACTAATGAGATTAAATGTAATTTGCCATGGCCAACCTATAAAGCCATAAGTCACTGATAGGCTGATAACCTTATCTCAGAGTGAATCCTCTGCATTCTAAAGATATTGAATGATGATTTTATGGGTGTGGATGTGTCCTCAGATGGGTATGTATTGCTTTCCAATAGAACTCTAGCACAACAGAAAAGATTAATCACACCGGCCTGAAGCAGGAGAACAGGCTGTAGAGTCAGAAAACACCAACAGACCTGAAGCGGTGTAACAGGACTGAAAAACACAGTGGATAGTGTTGATGTACAAACATAATAAAAGGGCTGGAGTGTGACAACAATCAGACAGATCAATGCAAACATTACACATCAGTTGGTTCACAGAGATTACAGATTATGCTGTAAAGGCTGCTATTAGCTCCGCCTGCAAAAAAAACATATCTACTCCCATAACAGAAGAATTTCAGTATTACTAAGGTCACTGACTGGCTTGAGCTCTGAGCTAAAACAAAGTTGCAGCATTACAGCAATTTGCAACATTCTGAATGTATTTAGTAGAATTTCTAAGTTGTCCAAATGCTGTGGAAAGACTTACAATGGCATGTTGATGAATGGAGCACAACTTACAAGTTTCCATATAATGCAATAAGTCAGACATATGAATAAAGCTTGTTGATGGTTCAGTGAAATCTGTGAGGTGAACTTGTCAAATAAAAATAACCTTCAAAGTCATTTACTGGGAATTTAACAAGAATAGTGGAATTGTGGGGTTTAGGTGATTACAAAGACTATTTCAATTAAACACAAGTAATAATTCAAACAGGAGATTTATCACAATACCATGTCAGTAATTAGTTTCCAGCCACCACTTCATGAAGAAGATGTGCTCTACAAAGCCCATGATGCCACACTGTCTGCAGGGACTCGTGATCACTTTCCTTGTTGTTGTGGGGAGGCACCTCTTCGCACCATTAACTGCAATGTCAAAAATCAAGAGTGTGTCAGAGGCCCCTTGTCAGCATGGTATGCAGTTAATGCCACTAGAGCGTGGGATTGGCATTTTACACACACACACACACACACACACATACTGTCGCCACTGCCCACCAGAGGTTGCGGACGACCTTGCCCAAGCACTGACGAGTCGGTTGCCTCAGGTGTTTTGGTGCAGTCCATCATTCACAAAGGTGAAACTGTCACAAGTTCATTCTGCCACACAAAGAGCTGAAGAACACATGGCTTTTGTTTCTAGCTGGAACAGAGCATCTAATGTTGTGCCAAGGCCCAGTGTACACATTAAATGTTCCTTTTGTTTTGTTTTGTACCTTTTCTTCCTCTTTTCCACAAAAGATAATGGAGCAAGCATTTTGTCTTTGCAGCTTTGTTCTTTGTGGGTGTGCAACGTGTGATAAATCCTTCCCTGTCCGGCAATCCATCTCTCTGACAATGATATTCAAAGATCCACTGAAGCAACAGACACCCTCCCTTCTCTCACTATCACACACTCTCTTTCTCTGAAACTTGGCTGTGGAAACTATCAGCCTTTTTCTGTCGGCTCAGCTCATTTGGGTTTTTTGTGTCTCCTTGTACTCGCATGGGCATCAAACCCACCAAGCTCTCCTCACTGATTGGAGAGGATGACTCATAGTGATGCCTCCCCAAAGGGAGGACTCAGTGATTACAACACTGCATGCCACAGCTCTGCCACTAACTCACACACTGAGGGGTGTCCTGTAAATCAGACACCCCAGCGGTCCAGTTGTAGCTGCAGCTGGTGGCAGCTCGAGGACCAGCTGATGGACTCAGCGGCTGACTGTCTCCACACTCAGCAAAATGTCGGGACTGTCTTTGTGGTTGAGCCTTATACATCTATAGATTACCTGTCAGAGAAAAACTCACGTTGGTATGTGGGCTGACAGTGCCCTAGTACAACTGCCTGCTAAGCTCTTCTTCAATATGGAGTCACAGTGAAAGACAAAAGGATAAGAAATACAATCCTCCTTTTGAAACACGGAGCCCTGTTGGTGAACTGAGCAACTGTGGAGTGTTATAATGAATTATAGTCTGATTTGTTGAGATTGATTGATACAGGGAAAATACACAGATCTATCTATCTATCTATCTACAAGTATGTTGTCTGATTGTCAGCTGACTGACATTGTCTTTCCTAGAGCCACTCTGCTAGTGTGGCTTACTAAAAACTGAAGAGGAACATCTCTTTCCCCAAAACTGTCCCAGCTACTTTGAATAATCCACAGACGTCACCATGAACAGTTTTCACTACTTTTGAAAGCTGTTATGACAGTTGTGCACACTCTTACTGCAGCATAAAGCCTTTATGCTTCCATTTCTGTATATGCAATTATGTTGAAATGGTGGGTTGTATGTTTATGTGGTTGCCTTGTTGTCTACTGTAGTTTTACTGGTGCAGAACACTGAAGTCTGGTACTTTAAGACTCGACACAGTAGAAAAAGTCACGGACACCTTCAAATGTGGTGTGTCCTTGAGAATTTGTGGACCAACCAGGTCTGTGGCTCTCACCCAAATCCTACCACAATAGCTATCCAGCAGCAGGAGAAGTGCCATCACTGAGGTTTTTAACAAATTATACTCTTCACTTGCAGAGAAAGCCGAGTGAGCACTTGGCTGGGAGTGTTTGTGGCCAGGGTGAAGAGAAACTGTTCTGAGAGTGCATGAAATGCTCGTAAAAGCAAAGTGACACCTGTTTCATATTCAGTGGTGTCTCTCTGCTGAAAAAGAAGACAGAGCACTCATTGTTAGCCCCCCCCCTCAAAAAAAAGAAAGAAAAAAGAAAGTTCTCAGCATATACATACCAGGGGACTAATATGATAAACTGTGACCTTCATGGCAACTCAGATCATGCTGAATTGATAAAAGAGAATACATTTGAAAAGAGTATTCAGTTTTGTGCAGTGACTATGTATGATGTATAGATCCAGGCAGTGTAGTGAATAAAGCAGTATGCTGTATGCTGTATGCCCTGCAGCTGCCAGAATATGACTAAGACATACTAAGACATCAGCTGAACTTCTTTCTCTAATGTCTTCTTTCTGATTTTATTTTGTAGTCCACCCAGTTATTTGTCTGTAAGTCTCTGGATCATTGTCAGGTCAACAGTTAGGTGGGCAAGTCCTCAATCAATGTGCATCTAAAATGTAAAGGTGGAATATTGTATTGGAATATTATACTTTTTAATCCACTACATTTATTTGAAAACTGTAGTTAGGCTACTAGTTACCTTTCAGAATTAATAAATAATAATAATAATAATAAACTTTATTTATACCGCACTTTTCAGCTCAAGAGCACAAAGTGCTACAACAGTAGAAGGCATAGTAATACAACATCAGTTAGAAACACTCATAGACAAACAAGAAGCCAAATAAATATCCAAGGAGTGATATAGGCCAGCTCCTGCCCGGCCGGCACTCCCAACGGGGGTTCAACCTTTGTGTTCACTGATCAGTTCTGATGAGGGATTCTGTAGCTGGACAAGAGGTCCCAGTTGTATTGGATCAGTGCTGACAGTAATAGTAATAATAATAATAATAATAATCTTTATTTGTACCGCACTTTTCAGCTCAAGAGCACAAAGTGCTACAACAGTAGAAACATAGTAATACAACATCAGTTAGAAACACTCATAGACAAACAAGAAGCCAAATAAATATCCAAGGACTGATATAGGCCAGCTCCTGCCCGGCCGGCACTCCCAACAGGGGTTCAACCGTGGTGGTCCAGAGGACCAAGACACACACTAACATATTAAAAGCAATTAAAAAATAAATTATTAAAGTTGACAAAATTCTGTGATCACGCTAAACATTAAAAGCTTGTTTAAAAGAGATGTGTTTTTAACGCTGACTTAAACACTGCCAGCTCAGTTATGGAGCGAATGTCTAAAGGCAGGGAGCTCCACAGCCTGGGGCCATGCACGGCAAAGGCACGACCTCCCCATTTATTGTAGTGTACAGGGGGAACGACAAGAGCAAGGTGACCCGATAATCGTAGGGTTCTGCGAGGGACATATCTAGCCAAGAGGTCGGACAGGTACTGAGGGGCAAGGCCGTGCAAGGTTTTAAAAACATAAAGCAAAACCTTAAAATCTACTCCCCATTTAACCGGCAGCCAGTGAAGAGACAGCAGAACCGGAGTGATATGGGCATGCCGACAAGTGCTGAACAAGCTGGAGCCCGGAGAGTGATGACTGGGATAACCCGGAGTACAGGGCATTACAATAATCAAGCCGGGAAGTCACAAACGTATGAATGGCTTTCTCTAAGTCACTATGAGAGAGAAATGGCTTTACCTTTGCCAGCAGTCTTAGCTGGATTTAACCACTGACTTGATCTGCTTATCAAAGTTGAAATTGACGTCAAAAATTACCGAAGGAAATTCTGACTAAGCCAAGTTTTGACATCCTGTAGACAGTTTTGTAATGCACCAAACGAACCTGACTCTGGTTGAACCAGCGGCATATAGATTTGAATATCATCATGAAAGGGAACATTGTGACTAGATATAATGGCGGCAAGTGGGAAGAGATACAAGGAAAATAACAAAGGGGCCAGAATGGAGCCTTGCGGGACGCCAGAAGTCAGGGAAGCTGTGCCGGAAGAATGGTCACCAATCATAACCGAATAGGTTCTATCGGTAAAATAGGACTCAAACCACCTTAGCACCTCCCCTCCCAGGCCGAAAAGGTGCTGGAGTTTTAAGAGTAAAATCGAGTGGTCCACTGTGTCAAAGGCCTGCAGATAAGTATAACAAGGCTAAAATGACTGGGCGTCCGGCATCCAGGGCTAATGCAACATCATTATGTACCTTGAGTAAAGCAGACTCAGTGCTGTGTCGAGCCCTGAACCCAGACTGAAATTTATCACCCAGATCTAAAGATTTTAAGTGAGTTTGCAGCTGAGTAAGCACCAACTTCTCCATAACTTTAGCAAGGAAAGGGAGTAAGGATATTGGCCGAAAATTTCCTAATACCGTAGCGTCAAGGTTGGGCTTTTTAAGTAATGGTCTAACAACCGCATGCTTAAGGGTCGGAGGGACCGAACCAGAACTCAAGCATGAGTAAACAAAGTTGACCAGCCCAGGGCCAATAATATCAATAACTTCTTTAAAAATCTTCCCCGGAAGGGGATCAAGCGGAGAAGCAGCGGGTTTGAGCTGAACCACACATTTTTTAATAAAACAAAATACAAGCAAATCATAAGACGTTATTGATCCCTAGTGCATTATTCACAAACTACCCAGCAGATAATGTACTTCAAATTATAGCCACATAAAATTTGCTCCTCCTTTGTCGGGTGCAGCATTAAAGTGATGTACACTATAATGCATTAATAATATGCAATGGTATGAAATGTAGCATTCTGCATAATGAGTACTTTAAGTGTATTTTGACGCTAACTGTTTTGTACTTTCACGTAATGTTGAATGTAGGATTTTACACTGGGATATTAAACAGTAACTGAGCCAAAGGAAATTGTCCGACGGTCCCTAAACGGGCAGGCTGTGTAGTTGATGGTGGATCGCGGAGCGGCAGCTCGGTCAGTCCGTTGCTGCAGTCCGACAGAGCGGCCGGTGATCAACGTCCTCACAGCGTCTGCGGACCTGTAACGCTATGTTTGCTCTGAACTGATGGTGAGCGGTTTACTCGGAGCAGGTGATGACTGTGTAATATTCGTGGACATGAGGACACACGCTACAGCTTCTTCTCCCCAAAGGTGGAATCTTGATATGCATATTTTCACCGAGCATATGAGAAAGGTGGTGATGCAGCACAGCGGCGTCTACACAACAGACCGCGTCTGTCTGTTTATAAGCAGCTAGCTAGCTAGCGTTAGCAATCCAGACAGCTAGCAGCTCAGCAGGCTATAGGTTTGATAGCTCATTCTTCATCGCGGGATAGCTACAATTTCAGCGTATGCCGGAATATTTTTATCCACGTTTTTCATGAGCACTGCCTGGCTGTTTATTTACTGCTGCTCTTTTTTCAGCTAGCCAACGTTAGCTTGATAACGTTGATAGGTTAGCCGCTTGTTAGCTAGCAGTTTGGTATCGGCTAATCACCTCACAGACTGGCACTGGCAGAGAATGAACTTGGTATTCTGTATAGAAACACCGAGACATAATAGGTCCGTAGTGACCCGATGATAATGTATGGGATAAAACAGACAGGCTCAGATTTATGTTATTAGTAGCTGGCATTAATACAGCCGCTTATATTGGTGTTTATATATTAGTGGGATACGCGATTTCTTCACATTGGGAGTTGCTGAGCGGAATCAAACACCTGCTCCGGGTCTTCTCTCCACATATGCCGACACAGGGGAATAAATCTTTTAAGATGCATACATGTGGGTATTTGCTAGAAGAATTTAGGTTATGATGTAACACAGTGCAGTGCATTTGGCTTGCATGTCCTGCCACAACACTGTCAATTGTCATTCCGGTCGAGTACGATGAATAAGAATGGCAGGAGCATATTTACATGTAGGCCGATCTTGCTCTTCATTTCTTAAAATCATTTTCTCAAGGTATGTGTATGATAGCAAGCTGTGTGGCACGGCAGTTCATTTAAACTGGGTTTGTTGTGCAAAGTTAGTGCTGGCAGAGATGCCAGTATAGGCACAGGACAGTTGATTGGTGATTGTCTCAGATGCTGCACAGCCTTTTCATATCTCAAACCTCTGGAAAATGTCTGTCATTTGTCTCATGGGCAAAGGATTAGGTGTTGTGTGTGCGTGCCTGTGTGTTTGTATATAAGGCAGAGTCTAAGCTTATCTTAGAGATGATGTGTCATTATATTTACCATAGTATGAGAGAGGATTGTTTATTATGCTAACTACTTGATATATGACTTGAGTTGTCACCACATGTTTGATCATAATTCAGTGCTGTTAAGCTCAGTAAAGGTCTTTCAGAGAGTGTTTGGCAAGATACTATTTGTTGCAAGGGACATGCTGCCAAGGTGGAGAAATGACAACCAAAAGAAAGGCTAGAAAGGGAATAAGCTCTTCTGTCCTGACAGAACGCAGATCACCATGTGTCAGTGTCGAGGTTGGGTGGTTAAAATGATGACAGGAAAATACCAGGTTTTTCTAAAATGGTGGCAAGTCTCTGGTGACTACAAACCCAATTCCAGTGAAGTTGGGACATTGTGTAAAATGTAAATAAAAACAGAATACAATGACTTGCAGATCCTTTTTGACCCATATTTAATTGAATACACCACAAAGACGAGATATTTAATGTTCACACTGATAAACTTTATTGTTTTTTGCAAATATTCACTCATTTTGAATGGAATTCTTGCCCATTCTTGCTTGATGTACGACCTCAATTGCTCAACAGTCTGGGGTCTGTGTTGTCGTATTTTCAATGGGAGACAGGTCTGGACTGCAGACAGGCCAGTCTAGTACCCGCACTCTTTTACTACGAAGCCACGCTGTTATAACACGTGCAGAATGTGGTTTGCCATTGTCTTGCTGAAACAAGCAGGGATGTCCCTGAAAAAGACGTCGCTTGGACGGCAGCATATTTTGCTCCAAACCTGGATGTACTTTTCAGCATTAATGGTGCCTTCACAGATGTGCAGGTTACCCATGGGCACTAACACACCCCCATACCATCACAGTGACTTTGAGCTGATAACAATCTGGATGGTCCTTTTTCTCTTTAGCCTAAAGGACACGACGTCCATGATTCCCAAAAACAATTTGAAATGTGGACTCGTCAGACCACAGCACACTTTGCCACTTTGCATCAGTCCATCTCAGATGAGCTCAGGCCCAGAGAAGCCGATGGCGTTTCTGGGTGTTGTTGATGTACGGCTTTTGCTTTGCATGGTAGAGTTTTAACTTGCACTTGTAGATGTTGTGACGAACTGTGTTAACTGACAGTGGTTTTCCAAATATGAAATTGCGCCCCATCCTTGCTTATGAATGAAGCTCACCTGTTTCCAATAAACATGTTCACCTGTACAATATTCCAAACAGGTGTTTTTGAGCATTCCTCAAGTTCTCCAGTCTTTTGTTGCCCCTGTCCAAGCTCTTTTGGAACGTGTTGAAGGCATCAAATTCAAAATGAGTGAATATTTGCAAAAAACAATAAAGTTTATCAGTGTGAACATTAAATATCTTGTCTTTGTGGTGTATTCAATTAAATATGGGTCAAAAAGGATTTGCAAGTCAATGTATTCTGTTTTTATTTACATTTTACATAATGTCCCAACTTCATTGGAACTGGGGTTTGTAGATTGTCCAAACTGTGTATTCAGCATTAACTCTCGGCCTTAATGTCCCTTATTTCAGAGTCAACATGGCCATTTTCCTGCTGCCCAGTCACTCCTTTGCTGAGGGACCTCAACCCTTTTTACTTTCTGGAATTGCCAATGCAGGGATGAGATAATAAAGTCAGCCAGCTGGTGCATGCTGCTACAACAACACCTGTGGCACTTGTAAACCTACCCAACCCTGCCCTCTACCCCAGCTTAGTTCTCTCCAACATTCAAACCATGACAACACCGGCTCTCCTGCCACTGTCGGGACGCAGGATACCCACTCTGTCACCGAGCGCCGCCTCCTTCACCCACCACAGGGCAACGTTGAGGCTCTCTGAGAAGTTCATCCTCCTCCTCATTCTTAGTGCCTTCATCACCTTATGCTTTGGGGCCTTCTTCTTCCTCCCGGACAATTCCAAGCACAAGCGCTTTGACCTGGGTTTGGAGGATGTGCTCATCCCTCATATTGACTTGCCCAAAGAGGGGAAGCATGCTTCAGGACAGGTGGTCATACATGGACAGGGAGGACATGACGAGCACAGACACAGGTAAGGAGCAACAGGGGAAGTGTTTTTTTGAGTGCACATCGTTTCATTTTATTTATGAAAAGCTGCCAGATTTGTTAAACGGTAGTAACTACTGGGACATTAAAGCAGGTGTCCTGTCACTTAACATATCTTCAGCAGTCTGCTGCGACACCCAGGGGTGTGGCTGTGTGTGTAGCGTGATGCACACTCTCCCCAGCATTTAGGTACATGTCAGCACAGGCGTTGCATACTTTTTTCTACTTTTTTTTTTTTTTTGCATACAGGGTTATTGTGAATACTCTCACCTTCTCTGTCTCCGTCTAATTATTTAAGTTCTTGTACAGTAGAATTTTTTTCATCACCTTGGATCCAGTGTTGTCGTACTGTTTTGTGGGAAGACATGGTTGAACTTGACGAGCTAGAGCACACAGGCTGTTTGAAAACTGTTTAAATGGGCTTGGAAATGACTTCCTGTCCTGAGCCAAATACTGGTGATGTTTGACTGCAGCTTTTACAGTTGGAGTTTGGTTTGTCCAGCCACTTTGACTGATGCCAGCTGTCAGCCCCTTTTTTGTTCCCTCTCACACTACTAGGCAAAAGTTTGGATACACTTTTCATATTAAATTGAAGTAGACCTGTGTCCAAAGCTTTGACTGATAGTGTAAATCAAATTCATGTCTGTCTTGTGCTGTTTGGAATCCCCTGTGATGGATAGGTTTCATGCAGTCATTACCCTGCCGCCATCTATCATTCTTGAACTGACCCCAGTTTTAAAGGGAATTCTATCATTTTGACATTTTAATACAATTATAATCGCCACTCTAAGCTAATACATTGGCAACAGAAGCTATTGCGTAATGTAAAAGCCATGTATTTTTTATTTTGTTATACTCTAGCAACATGTTATCTTCATATTTGGGAATCATGAAGTGTTTGTTTAATTATTTGTCTCAAATTGAATCCCTGAACACTAATAGCAACATAACTAGCAACAAAATAAAAATGCATTTTTCCATTTTCTGATAAATTCCAGGTGTAATGTCAGGCTCAGGCTCTGTGGGTTTTCGATTTTATAAGTAGTACACTACCTTGATACAAAAAAATGGAAACTTGTGTAATTATTTTCCTTCCAGTTACAGAAGCAGCATAATTTGATTGGTATAACTCGTACATCATCTCCTTGTCCCTTGTGGCACCTTTTCATTTTTAATACCCAAAAGCTTTCCGCAGCTTGTGATGCTGCCTGCTTGAAATAACAATTATTGTTGTCCAGCATCTCAGAAGGAGCAGACGTAGTTGGGCTCAAGTGCTGCTGTGTCTTAGTCAGAACCACAAAGGCTTTTTTAAGCATGAAGGCAGGAGGCTTGGACTGACACCTTGAAAGCCTGCAGTTTATAGCAGGGATGAGAAAGGACCTGGTGATGGAACGCAGGAGCATTTGGAGCACAACGTGACTAGGTAGCATTTTTTGGGTCCTTTCAGTCTTTGGGAGTGTGGTGCTGCTATTTTTTCCCCTTCATGCGTATTAGTATTCAGTAAATCCCAGGCAATGTCAGTGCACATTTAAGTGAGCTGTTATTGTTCCTGGCTAATGCTAATGATGGACTAGTACCGGTTTTGGCAGGTGTTCCCCAGGGAGCAGCAAGAAAAAGCAGAAGATATTTCTTGATTTATGATCAACTGTTGTATAGACGGACTCATTTTACATTCAGCTTTGTGAGCTACTTCATTTTTAACTGCAGATTTCAGCCACCTCTGTGAATTTAATAGCATAGCTATTATGCAATCCAGCCTTTAAGACTTCAATTTTTAAGAATGCAAAATATTTCAGTATTTTTCATTCAGTTTAGGAGTTGTGGCCCAAAGTTGCTTGTTAAAGAAAATAGAAGAAGAAGCTGCTGAGATGGCACTGCAATGATAATTTAAGGTTTTGAGGAGGGAGAATAATACCTTTTGAGATCTGTTGAAATTAGTTTTATGCTAATGTAGAGTCTTTGAAATACTTCCTGTGTACTTAACCTCACTTAATGTGATGTGATATGTTTTTTTCTTTGTTTTTTTTTGCATATTGCATCTTATGGAAATGTGTTCTGTTTGCCGCTTTGTGGTGTAGCTGCCTCAGCTGTTCTTAAAATTATCACTGTGGGCTCCAGAGGACCAGGGTTCAAACAGCCCTCGGAAAATGAGGTGTGCTAGCTTTTAAAGATACCCTCAGGAACACTGGCAGGCTCTTAATGATTCCACCTTTACTTCATTTGGCCACAATAAACCACACAGAACCAGTTCTCTGTCCAAAGGTTCACTGCAGTAATAGTCTTTACAAAAGCTTTTGAGAGAGCGAAGGTGGTTGTTCTGTTTGTCATGGGGTGATCCATGTGTTCCAGTACTCATCATAAATTATATGCCTGAAAATATGGGTAAAGCTCTGGCCATTTGACTGTACTGAACTATATCTTTATTTTGTAAGTGACAGATTTTTTTGCTGTTATTTTATAGATGTACGTTTTTGTCAACACTGAGGAAGAGTTGTAAGCCACAAGCCTCTTGTGGCTCCAACAGAGTGTAGATCTACAAGCCCTAATTTCTTTAGACATTTTATTTATACTATTCTAACTACAGCATATCCGGGTATAGAGCTCAGACAGATATTCAATCATTCTGTTTTACAATCACGCACTCCCCTCTCCTGTCAATGTCCTTGAAGTCAGATTTACAACCAAGGAAGCATTTTCTCTGTCTCTTAATCCCTCTCTGTGTGACACTGTACCTTTTTGTCTGCTTGACATATGACTTGTCAGGCCCATATCTGTAGTAAAGATCTCTCAAGATGCTCATTAGGAATTTTCCCCCTCTGTGGTAGTTACGCAGTGTGATTCAGCAGCTGGGTTGTGCCTTAAACTGGGTTTACTTGACATTTCTGTGGCTGACAAACTCAGGCAGTCACACTTTAGACAGAGAGGGAGAAACTCGCTAACTGTTTAACTTCTAAGCTGCAAACAGCCCATAATGCAAGCTACTCTACCTAATGTTCTTTCAGCCTAGAGGGTCTAGTGAGACTCGGAACAAACTGACACCATAAGCCGCTCCTAAGTGCTCTTTGCTCCTCCCATCATGTCCTGTTTCCTAGCAACATCACAAACTGCAGATGTCTGGTTACGACAAACATGCACAAAATGCAGCCTTCAGTCCGAAACTAGTGACAGCTGACTATTGAGTGTATGTGTCGCGCCAGTAAAACACTGTGGTTACTGCTATTGTTAGGTAAAGCTAGTGCTAACAGAGCACTAATATTACATAAAGCTGCAATTACTGCCAAATTAAAATCAAATTAATTCAATACAAAGGTAAATTTATAACCATGCTAGGTCGCTAATGTTACCAAAACAAACACGTTAGCTTTAGCTGCTAACACCTCCAGATAGAAGAACACCACATCTGAATCCAGTCTGAGTCCTTTGGCTGCTTTTAACCCTCTCCATCTCAAATAGCCAAACCGATGTTAACACTGGTTGTTGTTCTTTCTTTGTCCTACTCTCTCTTTGCAAAAGATGCCACCTCTCCACTCTGGCAGCCGCTGGTTCAGACTTGTAGTTGCTGAGAGCTCCTCAATGGCCATTTCCTGTTGGAAATGACTACTTATAGTTCATAAAACGCTTCTTATGACCTTTGCTAGGTGGCAGGCGGGGCTAATTTACTTAACAGCACTGGGTAGAGAAAATGGAATAACAGCAGAAGGGCTGTAGGGAGCAGAGTGTCATGGAAGGGAGTATAGCTGAGAGACACCACATCCTGTCACATGTTCTCAGTATTGTTCAGATAATGTATAAAATCTGATTAATGCACCTGGAAGTACATGAGCTGATACTTGTGAATACATAAATGTCTGGTCCTTAATATACAGTACAAGTTTTAAACAAAAAAATCTCGGAACCTTAAGAACAGCTATATTTTTCTAGTCACTTGTAGTTCTGTCCAGCTGAACAAATAGTTTCTTTGCCAGGCTTTAAGATGTACATTGCTGAAGGTACCAATCCAGTGCAATCAAAGTTGTATGTCATTTGGTTTGTGCATCTCCAGGATAATACTCAGCCCTCGCTGAAAACCAGCCGTCCTTATTGAAAACAAATTCCCACTTCAGTATTACTGCCAGCTGAGTGTTTCTGTGCAGAACAAGTGACAGGACCGGCTGAGATCAGTGCTCACAAGCTATATTTCTGTCTAGAGATTATTGCTACAGACTAGTCGTATATTATCTCAGTCTCCTTCTTCTGGGGCACCATCAGAAATCTCAAAACCTTATTAAACCAGGCTGAGGTGATGTGCTGTGTTATGTACCACAAGGGTTAAGTGGGATACGATTTTCATAGTAGTGCTGTCTGTGATTTATTGCTATTGTTGAACACCTTAACTGTTTGGTGTGTGTGACTGAGGCATCACATCAGGCAAGATTATGATCTACATTCAAGAATCAATGAAGGTTTAAGATATACAGTGTAGGTTTTACAGAAGACCCACCTGTTACCTGTTGTTTCTTAAGATAGTACTGTACATTTTTGCTCTATTTGTATCAAGAAATTTAAGACGGAAACTGGTTTTGTCTATTTATGTGACAGACCATGTAAGGAACAATCTGTTAACTGGTTGCTTAATAGAAACTGATAATTATTGTTATTAGATTAAAGGACAATAGCCCTCATTCACTAATATGTGCGCAGAAATGTTCCTACCTTGCGAACAAAATAAATACCCATGCAAATTTACCATCAGATTCATGATATGTGTGCACTTGACAGTTTTATTCTTACCACTGAGCATATGTCATTAAATCTGAATTGTTTTAAAATGACAGGCATGTGCCTGCAATGCACAATATTGTCACACCCTCATTTCTCTGTATTAGGAAATCTGTTTGCCTAGAGTGTCTTGTGGAGTAAGCAGTAGATGTGCAAGAGAGGACAGGACAGGACTTGAACCTGAGGAGGTATCAAGTGAGAGCAGTGTCTCCGATGATGCCGTTCCAG